CCGAATTCAAGCCTAAGTTCTTCAAAAACTTCCGAAACACGCATTTGATCAAAAACCCAACCAAAACACCTCCGAATGACCTAAAATTTTGCACACACATCCCAAATCACATAACGAAGCTACAGCAACTCTCGGAATTCCATTCCGATCCTCGGATCAAAATCTCGCCTATCGACCGAAAATCGCCAAAATACTAACTTCGCCAATTCAAGCCAAATTCTACACCGGACCTCCAAATCACTTCCGATCACGCTCCTAAGTCATAAATCACCCAAAGAAGCTAACCAAATCATAAAAACTCCGATCCGAGCTCGTATTCAAATAAGTCAACTCTTGGTCAAACCTTTCAAATTCCAAGCTTTCAACTGAAACTGTTCTTCCAAATTCATTCCAAATTTTCCTGAAAACCAAAACCAACGATCTACATTAGTCACAATACATAACACGGGGCAAGTCATGCCCGAGAACTGGCGATCGAAGTGCAAAAGCTCAAAACGACCGGTCGGGTCGTTACATTCACAATGGTCGAGGTCGTTCATGGCTTTACGGCTAAACTCGACATGGTGGAGAATGGGGATGGGGGGCTGCGATACGTGAATTGCAGCGTTGGGGGTGGGAGTGGGGGTGGAGGGTGAGGGGTTTGGGATACGAAGCTTGTATGGGGGAACTGATACGTGTGTAGCAGTTTCCTTATTAAATGCCTAACACCAGGGGATCCTTAATTATCACTAATTATATATAATTGGTAAATTGTATATAAACTTATAATTAAGCTTAAACCGCAATAATTGGTGTAAATAAGTATATAAGTAAAAATTCCTAAAATTAATCATCTACGCCAATCGTAACAAATGACAAGGTATGAAGAAATGTAAAGAGACTGTATATATAGCTGCCTCTAATGAGGTTACCTTTAAATTTGCAAATGCATATTATGCCTCTATTCATTTGATGTGAACATTCCGGTGTGAGTAAGTTTTTACACTCACACACAAAAATATCTCTTTTGTTTAGAAAGTACTAATATCCGTACCCGTGCATTGCGCGGAAAATATTAAGTATAATTTTTATAAGAAAATATTATTTGTAAAATGCGGTAGACACATAAAGGAACAAAATAAGGTGTGAGAAATTTCGAAGCTTCTTAAGGAAAAAAATAACTTTGGTTGAAAAATAAAATAACCTTCATTGCATTCTTACTTTGGTTCATCATAAAGGTAAATGGCTGTGATAAGAAAAATGAAAAGCTATACCTTTACGCTAGTCATGAATGTTAGCAGAATTATCTTCATTGCATTTCCTCCATTTCCTTCTAACTTTGGTTACTCCCTTTCTAATTGAAAAACAAAATTATTTTTTGGTCTGCAATTGACTCAATACATAAGCCAACTCATGCTTTAATATACCACTCTTTCAACCTAAATATTCAATAATTATAGAAATGGCTTTCTCTCCTCCATTGTTCTGTAATACAAAAAGATAAGCATAGCGTTCATACATGGGCTGTTATTCACTAAAAAAACTTTCCTTACGAGCTCGACAAAGGAATAATCAGCAGAAGCAGCTTGGACTACGGACAGAAAGGGTGACGACAACATTCTTGAGGAACCGTCATCAGTTCCTACATTCGTCAACTGTTAGATTGGATTGAAAGCTACTTCACATGTCTTTCGGACATGTTGACCTGGAACTGAAGACAAACTCCTTTGTAGAAGTGAAATATTTCCTTTATAAACCTATTGCAGCAAGACCAAGTAAAATAATAATAAGAAAAAAAAGAACTGTGAGGCGCTTACATTCCCTCTGCCATTAAGTATTTTCACCCATGATATGACGGTAACAGTACGAGCAATAAATTGAGGAGGCCTCATTAATGATAAATCACGGAATTAATCATACTTTGCTGTCAAGGTAACAAAGAGCACAATCAAATAATGAAGTATCAAAAAATATCTAGCACCTAGCAGTAAGCTATTGAAAACCAACAACATTAGGAAATTTATCATATTGAGTATGAGGATAAGCATATTAGCTTTTTTATTTACCAAGTTTATCTTGTCGAGTGGACCTCCAGCAACAGTAGGAGATAAATAATCCTTCGACTTCAATGGTAATATGGAGAACTTTATTTTATCTCAAAGGAACAAAACGGCTTTCATATTAGTATAATTTATCATAAGAAAATATTACTTGAAAAATACGATAGAAATAAAGGAGGATGAAAGAATTCTAATTTTGTTGTATCATTGGCTCGTTATATATGTTGAGGTATTTTTTTCTCTTCATAATATTTATGTACATAATCGACACTCATTGTACGTTTCAAACAAACACAAAATAATTTATCAGATGTAGTTTAATTTTTTTACCATATAAGAAAGTAGATTAAAAAACGTGATGTAATAATACTGGAGACATGTCTTGACATAATAGCTTCTAGCATCATTAATGGAGTACTATATAAGAGAAAAAACATAAATAAATAATGCAGCATAAATGGTGTTCCAATGTAGAGCAACCAAACAAAAGGTAAGCAATAGTAAACATACCCAAGAAAGTTGTAAATGCAACATATTGTAACTTTTGCAGATGAATTGGTATTTCATTTCCAATATCATGATGGATAATTGGGAAGAACGGAGGCCAATTTTTCTCCTCGATAACAATGTCAGCTGCAACTCAAATAAGAATTAAACTTGTAAGATACTGGACAAGTCACAAGATAGAAGTTCCATCTGAAATACAATATTCTACAGAACGTGAAAGTTACTCAATTAAATTGAAAGTTGCATTTGAACAACAGATTACATCAAATATGAAAAGGATGATGAACAACACTATTTGAGAAGCATAAGAAGAAGAAAGAAAAAAAAAGTAGCCCTAGATCAAAATCAGAAGGCTCAATCAGGAGTATAGAGGAAGAAGGTCCTGCTATCTTCCTTTCTTTCATATGCAGTTAGAAATTGTATATGCTTTTCTCCCTTCATTTTGAAGAGTATGAAGAGCAATAATTAAATTAATATCAATATGTACATATTACTGTATAATCAAATAACAGAGAATCACAAACTCCATGAAACATACAGCCAAAAACCTCAGCAAAACATAACACAAAACACCAATTTCTAGCACTAAAAACGCAGCAGCAGCTGCTGTTTGAGGAGCACAAAAAATTATTCCTTTTCACAACCTTCTTCTTCCACCATAAACCCACACAAATCAGCTATAAACTCCACCTTAGAAAAGCCCCAAAATACTCCAAAAAGCCGCGAAAATCAGCAGCAAACAGTCCAAAACGCTGTGACTTTCTCACCCAAAAACAGTCAAAAATTTCCAGCTGAAACCTGCTGCCGAAATCGCTCAAAAAAAGTCCACAAATCTGTACCAAGAGCAGTCAATACTTAGCACGATGATTGGAAGCAAGAAGAAGATAGGAATGCTATAAGCTGTTACTATTAACTACTGTATTATGTTTCCGTTAATTTCAGCTTTCTGCAGTCGTGTGAACATCAGAAGTTAAGTTATTTTGGTGGTGAAGAGAAAGCAATGTACATCTCCAACTAATTATGTGTGTGTATCGTGAATTTAGTGTGCTCTGTAGTATAAATTCCATCAAGCCTAAACAAAATTTTAGCTGCTCCACTCAAACATGTAATTAGCCAAAGTAATGTAGTTATCTGGACCTTTGGGAAAGCTGCCCTTGTTGCACCTATGAACACCTCACACACTGCTGTATTTCTCAATAAAAGCTTAATACGGGGATTTATAAATGTGTGCTGCATTCATGGTGGCGCTTAAAGGAGATATCAAAGTAACTTCCAGTTGATGCTTCTCTCAATTATCTTTCGAACTATGTATCAAGTTATTAGTATGTGAAGACCATGTCTTTTGTAGTTACTTCTGCATTTTAGTTTAATAACATGGCTTGGGCATCTATCTTTTTCCCAAACCTGCACAACATGTATGTATCCATGATTTTGGCTCAGTTTAAGTTGACGAATTAGTTGTTTATCAGGAACGTGGTTTACTTTTGAATTTAAACAGTAGGTTTTGGTGAAGGGTATTTAGGATGTTGATAGATTACTGCAAAAAATAGTGGCTCATGCAGATATAAATTCCTTTAAGGGACATTTGAGCAGAACATATGTTGTATGCTGTAGATAACAGTTGCTCCCCATTCTGATTTGCCGATAGTAAAAGAAATGAAACTTGCTTTGGTATCTGATTAGCTACAAAATGTTCCTAAACCACTGGCATATTAATTTTCTTTTTATGATAAGTTGTAAACTACCTACGTCATACCTCCCTGAATAAACTGGACACAGATAACAGTGGACTTAAAGTACATGGACACATCTAACACTTTGCACCAAAAGAATATGGACAATTCTAATAGTGTGCACTTAAAAGAGAAGCATATTTCTGTATAAATTATCAGTTATCACATTGCTATTTAGAAGTCTAACTAAGAGAGAGAAGCCTTTTACAAAACTAAAAGATATACATTCCACTTATTAAAATTTACGTTCAAGCTTCAAGAATTGGGTTATGCTTCTTAGCTCTATCCCTCTTATAACATAAGTGTCTGTGTTAATCTACTATGGGTTGTGCAGGTATCCACCAAAGTTAGATTTGCATCAATGCCAATCTAACTTTGAGCGTATGCTAATAAAATTATGGTCAAAATTGTGACCATAAATCCTTCACTAAAATTCTGACACCAAACAATGAGCCAAAAACTAAAGCACAACCAATAATGAAGCAGATAGCAAAATTATATGGCAACAGCACCACTTTCATTCGACATAAGTAATAACTGAATTCACGATTAATAAAGATAATATGAAGTTGCATAAGTAGAGTCATTTCACCAGATCACATATCAACAGCAGCACATTCATTCCACATAAGTACAAAATATATAATTGCATAGCTAGAGGCATATCAGTAAAACCAATCAGAGATTCTTTTCTTTCTTTACGACTCTACGAACCTTGTTGCTAGAGAGTTAGAGAATTGAAGTCATCTTCCGGTCCTACTGCTAATGCCTTATTAGCGGATCTAGTCTTCTTGTCATACGTCTTCAAAGGAGATATTTTTTCATTGCAAGCATCACTATCTTCTAACACCGACGATCCACTTTCTGATAAGCTTTTCTCAATGGGAGTTTGCAAAACAGACTTCAGCTGACTTTCGGCCATTAGATCCTTTGGAAAACCAAAAAAATTTAATAGCAGTTGGAGAGAAATCCTGTTGTTAGTTGCATAATTTTGACTAATAATTGTTAAATAAATAAATAATGCTGTAAAAGTGTAAATTTCATGAAATTTACCCCAAAAAGCTTATCTCCACTTGAGCTTTGTCCATCAAAAAACTATGGATCCTGTTAAACAGAAATTAAAAAGAACATTCATTCTATGAGGGCAAAAGTATTTATACTTAAATTTTGTATGAGGAGGTTCGTGAGTTAAAAAAGTTTACAGTGATATTGTCTTCGAATAAACTGTGGTTGTATTCCTTTAGAAGGTCATCATCATCAGTAAGCTTAAGAACTTTGAAGACTTCGACCTGATACTCAATATTCTCTTGCTTAACAATAACCTTGAACATGAATTTTTTATAAAGAATATCGTCCAGTTCACTTGGATAAGAACAGTCAGCATCCACAAGTAATTCTACACCAAATTTCATAGGTTAGAAATATTATTATGGTTAATCAAATTAACTTTAGTAGTATACCTCAAGTAATCTTTCCTTAAGTTCTTTTGCGGACTTCCCTATAAGCTGCATAGCTTCGCGATTCCAAAGCAACAATGAGATAAAAGCGGTTCCATCCATAACACGAACTTGAAGCCTATACCTGCAACTCAATTTTGATTAACCTTATGCATATTTTTTATAGATAGAAGATTTTAAGTATACATAAATAGTAATTACCTGTGAGTAAATGAAATATCTTCTTCATTGCAATTCTTACAAAAGTATTTATTTCCAACTTTATCAACCTTTCGACTACACTTGTTGCATGCCAAGTATAACCATCCCCGGTCAAGTTCCAAATTAACCAATTTTGCCGCAATCCAATAGCTACATTCCTATTTTAAAAAAAAAAAACATTTATTGTAAATGCAAAATAGAAAACATAAGGTAAATATAATTGACAAAGTAAATTAAACTCACTTGCGTGCACTGAACTAAATCCCTAATAGTTTTAAACAGTACAATTCCTTTGTCTAACTCATCTCTAACAGAGTAACTTTGCTGCGAACTTGTTTGAGTGATTCGCTCAATGTTTGATTGACGTGCTCCAAGTAATCTGCATAAGTCAAAAATTGTAATTTATAAATACTATTGTTATATTTTGTGTACATATAGAAAAGGACTATACACTTGACAAACCTGGATTTAAAGTCAATAGACTGCGGCAACGTAGAATTTATCCATATCTTTGTCTGATACCAACAGCTACGCACAGAGTAATTACCTGTGTATCAAATGAATTATAAATAAAAATTTGAAATTTAAAAATTCTTATACACTAAAATAGAAAGATACATGTAATTTATGGTAAACCTCGAAATTTTTGAGTTTTCATATGCTGGAAAACAACAATCAAAGGCTCATCGGTAGATTCATTCAAGTGAAGTTGAATTTGATCCACAAGTTCGCTCCATAAGGTTGCCACAATCCTGTTCCTCCTATACGTTTAATTTCATGGTAAGGTTAATAAACACATATATAGGTAATCTATCTATAAAATATTGCTTATATTTTTGAATTACTTACTGATCATCCTCGAGTACAACATTAATAAAGACACTTTGGTCGTCTCCTTGCTTATAGGTCTTAACATCTTCATAGGTCACAACCTGACCAACAACATCTATTATAAATATAAAAGTTAGTCACATAGTTTTACAAATATCATTAGTTCATTAAAAATAAAAAGAAGAACTACCGAGTAATTCTGTCTCATCGACATCATGTTGATTTGTTAGTTGGTCAAAAGGGCGCAAGTTAAAGATGTTCATATGAAAGGAAGGATCATTTGTTTCCTCAACAAATGTCTTTTGAGTAAATGTCAGTCTCAGGTTGTGTGTCGTAGTCCTCAACTTCAAATTATTTGGTCCGACGACAAAGTAGTTCATACGATATAAGCGAAGTTCATGTATCTTGTTCCTAAAAAACTTAAGAACATACTTTCCGATTGAAGTATGTATACGATCACCCTACAAAATCAGATTCATTATTAGTGCACAATTATGAAGCCAACAATTATAAGCTCGTATATACTTTCATCACTGCCTAAAGTTGTCCTCAAGATTTGATGTAAAAAAGCAGAATGCTACAGTTTGTTGTATATCAATTATGAAGGCAACATTAATGGACAGAAAGAGGACCACTTGTACTAAAAAGAGGTAATGCCGATCGCTTTAACAAAAACTAAAAAGAGAAACTGAGAAGAAAAATAATCTATAAGGCTAATCAGTTCCATCGATGTCCTGCCATGTTGCAGCCTTTGATTTATTTGCTTATCTCATTTTCCTAGCTGGTTTGCTCCTCTGATTCTGAATTTTCATTTAGAATGCGACTACATTACTAAGTTTAAAAGTATGAGAAAGTTTAATGTGTTACCTTAGAATCCTGTAAAACCAATTCAATTTAATAAGGTATTTCCGGCTTAAAGCGATCCGGCATTATCCACATTCGAACGACTCTAACTTTGAGATTCCATTGCATCGAGTTGCCTGAAATTTGTTTGATATCATGAATTTGTGTGGCCATATTTGCAAAGTAATTGTAATCAGACTGGTATACTGAGTAGATAAAATATGAAGTTGAAAAGGTTTTGAAAATATAAAGCGCATAAATCATGCCGTTATAGATGTGTAGATAAAATAAGGATTTTTGAGTTGGAAACCCAAGTTTCGGAGCACGATCAGTCGTGGGATAATGCCGACTGTTTTGCCTTTGATGAAATAACTTCACGTTTGATGAGATGCGGACTGTTTTGTTGAAATAACTTTTTTTTTTAAACTTTTATGTATAAAAAAACTAATTGAAAACTTTAGATGGTAGTTGTTGAGTAAAATAGGGCAACTAAGAAAGTGGGAGGATTCCCTTTTTTTTTCTAATAACAACCACCACAAATAAGGGAAGGAAATTTCGGAAAGCAAAAATCGTGGGAGGATTGGAAACCAGCTTCGTGGGAGTATTGTCAGTTTTTTAGATTTGAAAAATTTACTTTTGCTGATTTTGCTGATTTGTAGTTTGAAGACAAAAACTCCAACTATCTTGGAGAGTTTTCCTAATTATTTACATGTGTTAACATTGTGGATGTTCCACTTGTCAGCCTAACATTATTTTGCCTTTTGTTATAAATAGAATTTTATTTATGGTGAATGTCTATATTTAGAGAGATTTTAGGGTTTATTACTTGGTGGCTATGTCACCCTCTGCCTATAAATAGAGGGTTCTATTCCATTGTAATTCATCTCAAATCAATAAGAATTCTCTCTCCCTACTTTTATCTGCTATACTATTCTTCTTCTTTTATTGTTTTATAACACGTTATCAGCACGAAACTCTAACCAATTGAGTAGAAGCTTTGGGATTGAGCATAATGATTGTCAATTATTCCATGAACTTCCTTCATGATTAAATTCTGGATTTAAGGTATGTATTTTATCGTATATTTCTCTTTTATTCTATAATTTGATTTTAAATACAAGCAAAGAAAATAAATTTTGATTATAACTCTAATGGAGTTAGTAAGAAATTATAACCACTCGAAGTGGTAAAATTTCTATGTCTTGCCATGATCAAAGTCATGTATGATCGTGAGCACAAGAAGTGCAAACCCGTCCCATTGAATTTGCTTCATTCTCATTCCCTTAAGAGAATGTGGTAGCAATATGTGATAAGCCTGAAAGAAGATAAAATTATTACCGTGAAGGTATCAATGGATGTAGACATGGTAATAGACGAAATTATAATCGTCATCATTGTGATAATGAGAATAATAAGGATTCTCAAAATAATCCTTCACTCTGTGAAAGTAATATTTGTCATCGATTTGACATGAAATTTTATAAAGCACATATAGATGATTATGGTCCATTCATGATGTGAATGTGACAACATCTGATGTATGAATACATATTCGTTCTTTAAAGAATATGAACATGCTAGTGGTAGTGAATATACCACACTCACCTCTAGAAGGAGCTTTGAGATGATATAAGAAAATAATGTCATTATTATGGCATGAAGTCATTGGTCACGTACCTATTGTATGTCAAAATATTTTGGCAATGTGATTATTAAAGAACAACAATAATGCAAGAAACATATCTTGCATATAATTTTGACCATGACCATAATGGTATAACTTTCTCCTTGAAAGAGATATATGACCATATGGATGTTGATGAATTTGTGATAGTACAAAACTAATTGAGAACTCTGCAAGAGCCAATTATACTATTTTGGAGAAACACAATTGATTACCAATAAGGTACTGTGTTGTAGTAAGTCTCAAACAAACTTATTCAGTTTCCAAAGTATACGCGAAAGCGGTTGATTATATTGAGACTATAAATAAAGGAAAGATTTAATATCTTCTATTACTACAACTTGTAGCGGGATAATATGTATGTGAAAAGCTACCCGCTTTATTCTCCAATTTGTACTACATAAACAAAAGAATACCACAATGAAATGGATATTTATTGATATAAAAACCCATATCATAATAAACTTGGAGTTTATTCATAATTGCACACATGATGGTGTAAATCTGAAGTTTATCAATATTGATAATTTATTCAGTTGGCATAATTGGTTTACCCATATCAATTTAAGTATGATGTGCAAAAATAAAAGAGAATTCACATGGGTAAATATTAAAGAACTAGAAAATCTTTACGAATTCTCTTACATTGCTTGTTCTCATTAATTAATAGACCAATTAAAATTGGGATTGAATCCCATGAATGCTGGAAATATCAAAGGTGAATATGGGTCCATTCACCTGCCATGTATACCACATAAGATGCATCTATGAGATGGTTACATGTGCAATTATTATTGACCCGCAACCTGGTGTTTGCGAGGTAACTTGCTCAATAATTAAATATAGAGCATAATTTCCAGATTTTTTTATTCAAGATAGTTCTTCTTGATAAGTTGGTTTACATCACAGTTGGTTTAGCAAAATAATTTATTGAGTGACTCCACTTAATAGCTAAACTATTGCTTATGAGAACAAAGTTATCTATATCAGTTTGATATAGGTTATATACGAAAGTATATTACATTCTCCCCTCACAAGTGGTTTCAGGGTCAGGAACCAAATAATTCTATCTCATTATTATTGATGTGCGGTGTATATTTTGATTAACACCTTAACGCACAAAGATGGGTTCTCAAAGTTGAGGAAACAAGTTAGTTTTTCTAACATGAGGGGGAGACAAGATACAACAGTTGAGAAAAAGTTACATGGAATGAATTATCATTTATACATCTAGATCCCCGAATAAAATAATATGAACTTGAAGTTCATAAAAGGATAATTCATGTGCAATTTATTGCAAAGCATGCCAGACGCATTTGCTGACCCAAAGAAAGTAACTATATTCTCATTGCAAATGCTCCTATTAGAATAAGTCTTAGAAGGACAAAGTCTATAGTACGCTCAAAGCATATAGACAAATCGGTTTCAAATAAACTTCTTGATAAAGAAGATGAGAAAATGATCAAAATGATCATAATAAAGGAGGCAAGTGATCTAGAAGATCACATGACATAACACTTCATAAAATCTAAAGAGAGATTCAGGTACCTGAAAATATGAATGAAGAGATCTCTATGTCATGTCTTTATGAAAAAATATTGAAACTGATATAAAATGTTTGTCGACGACATCTATGATAGCGCTATATATATATGAGGATCTTAAGTCTGAAGAAACAATTCAAATAGAATTGGTTTCATATGAAAGCCATGTAGTTTTGAACATGTAGTTCAAACACTTGAAACTATAAGTCAATGGTATGTGCAATCAGTTTTCGATATCTTATATGTCTAGCATGACATGAAAACTTGATATGCATCTAAAGTCTATTATATGGCTTATATAACTTAACAATCCCTGAAAGATTTAAATTGCTTAAAGCATATAGAATTCATGGTCATGAAGTACTACATCCTCAATGCAATTTGTGCACAAATGTATCTTGCTATAACTATATGCATGATAATATGACAGCAAGAGTTTTCATCTCTATGTGAAGATATTGAACTGACGATTCCAACAAGATCATATAAAGACAATCCATCTCTATCAAGATTGATGATTTCAAGGTGCAATATATTCATTCAAGTTAATATGGCTGATTTGTTCATCAAATCTCTACCAAAGATCTTTTGAAGATGGTGCACAAGATTGGAATGCAAATGTTCAAGGATGTGAATTGATGCTCTCATCAGGGGGAGTTAATACGCGTTGTACTCTTTTTCCCTTACAAGGTTTTGTCCCACTGGGTTTTCCTTGCAAGGTTTTTAACGAGGCAACCAAAAGGCGTACTGTTAGATATGTGTACTCTTTTTCCTTCTCTAGAATTTTTTTCCCACTGGGTTTTATTTTAGTTAAGGTTTTAACGAGGCACATTATCTGTTGAATAGACATTCAAGGGGAGGTGTTATAAATAGAATTTTATTTATGGTGAATGTCTATATTTAGAGAGATTCTAGGGTTTATTACTTGGTGGCTATGTCACCCTCTCCCTATAAATAGAGGGTTCTATTCCATTGTAATTCATCCCAAATCAATAAAAATTCTCTCTCCCTACTTTTCTCTGCAATACTATTCTTCTTCTTTTA